TTTGGGGGAATTGTGAGTAGCCATGGGTAGAATAGCATGTGGGTAGATTTTAAAACTGATTGGGTAATGGGTATTGTTGCGTATTGGTGTTGAAATTGGGAAAAATAGGCATTAGGCTGAAATGACTTGTTCGACGGGCTTGTCTTATCTCACCAAGGTTATTAGGCGAATTACCGAGTAAGTCCCAAATCGCCTTTAGTGCTTGAATATGTGATGTGAGTACTGTCTAGTTCAACGAGCTTATCTTAGCTCTCCAAAACTAATTCAGCAAATCGCCGAGTCGGAGTAGACAACGCCTTTTGTGCCTGTCTCTTTTAGTTAAGCACTGTCACTTTCGGTGGACTTGTGTTAGTCTGTCGAAACCAACTCAGTGGATCTCCAAGTTGAAGATTACTCCGCCTTTCATGTCTGGGTATTATTAAAGTGTGGATTTCAACTTTAGCTAGCTCTCCTAACCTATTGGGTGAATCGCCTTTCTAGTCGGCAACCCATAAAGCTGGTTCTGAACTGTGTTTGTTTTTGAGTTTGATTTCAACTAACCTTCACTCGATCTGTGTTTTGAATTATTGTGCCTTGTAGGAAATTGCTAGATCAAAAGGCAAGAGAGTTGTGTCCTCCAACTCTGAGAGAGACTCTCCTCCACCCGTTCCTCAAAAGAAAAACAAGGGGATCACCATTAATGATCCCTTTAAGGCTCCGCAACAACAAGCCACTTCGCGCTCTTCTATGCGTATGGGTGAACAACCCATGAAGGTGATTGCTAAAAAGAGGACGATACAGTCCAAGCTAGCACACGCCCCTTAGTCGTAATCACCTTCTCTCGTGTTCTCCTTATTATTGCTCTAAGAGACCTCAATAGGCTCAAAGCGGCTAGAGAATGGACTATTTTAGAGGAGAGACGACTCTTCACTGATGGGGTGATAAGTGACTACCCCACAATTTGGGATACAATCAAGTTCCATGGGTTTCAACAGTTTACCAGAGCTTGACCTCCTTACGTACCAACATGGGTGAGGGAGTTTTATGAGGCCTATGCTAAGGCCTTGCCTAATAAAATAAAAAGATTCGTATGAAAGCCCTTAGATAAGGTTGAAGTCTGAGGTAAGATGGTGCAGTTCCACCTAAGTGCAATCAATAATGCTTTGGGAACAAAGGGTAATCAGGATGAAATGTACAAGCTATGTATGCAGCATGATCTTGACACCTTGAAATATTGGTTGACATCGCTTATTTCAGATACATCTCTTTTGTGGATGGCCGACAAAGTGAGATTCGAAAAAAGGATATAAATATTTGAGACCGATATTGGTTCGGGTTCATCAGTAGCAACATCATGCCATCCAAGAATGAATCAATCCACTGGTATCTGAAGGCTATCTTGGTTGGTACAATTATCGACCACGAAAAGATAAATGTATGTTAGATCATTATAGATGAGATGCTGATGCGAGCTCGTCAGGGGCAGACTTCTCTCTCCTTCCTAGTCTTGATCACATATGTGTGAGGCTGCGAGAGTCCCTTTTCAGGAAAGGACTATGTGAAGATTACCCCATATCATCCAGTAATATTCAAAGGATTGAGGCAGATTACTTAAGAGATGATGCAGTTTGGAGGAAGCCACCACCACTAGATTCCACCCCTGTAGTTGATACTACTGCACTCGAGGTTGGTGCCGCTTAGCCCGCTCTTTTTGTAGATTTATCAGGTACGCCTAAGTCTCATTCTATGCCTTTCACCTCCATAACTGCTTCACTTGTACCTATTTCCCGACCTTCCTTGACCCAAGCCCTAATATACCAAATGGGCAACCTTGCTCGGTTTGTGAATGTAAGAGCAACAAGGGTAGAGAGGGATATGCTCATATTTGCCGAGAGTGCTATTGAGGATGCATTGTTTTAAGTTAGAGGCCAAATGGTACAGTATCAGAATACATTGGCATCGTATGAAGATAGGTTAGATAACCCTACAGCTAGGAAAGAGACTAGGGTAGCTTAGATGAGTTGACTGCTATAAGGGGTGAAATTGCTACTCTCTGCATTGATATTGTTAAGCTATGGTCCACCGATATATCTATGTTATGGGGGTGAATTTCCCTTGCCTGATATGCCTGATTTTGTGCATACCTCTAAGTCGAGAGTTGAGGTACCTAGTAGTATGGCTGAGCAGCCTGGTGTTATTGATACTGTTAGTGATGGTGAGAGAGTTGAAGATGAGGCTTATGTTGATTTTGCTGAGGAGAAAAATAAGGAGTTTCAGAGAGAGGATGAGTAGTGGATTATTGAGATGTTGATGGAGTTGCAGGATATATTGAGGAGACGATGGTTCTGGCTGTGATGGAGAGATCTTGTGTGGAGACCCTACTATTCCTCTTTTAGATGTGCCAGGCACTGATGCTTGTTAATGCTACATGTCGACTCCTGCTCCTACTTTGCTTGGAACTAATGCTCGAGAGGATGCCATCCCTTCCGACACTCCAGATCTAAGCACTTCACAAGCATATCACGTCAGGGGAACTTCTATATCACTCTCCTCTTATTTGTACTTGCCATAACATTGAGGACACTACTAACTTTATTTTGGTGGGGGGTGAGGGCACTTGTGCCAATATTTCCCTTTTTGATTATATTTTGTTATTTTTCAATTTTAGTTTGAGACATTTGTAGTAGTTTGATATTTTGGTTTTTATTATGATAGTTAATGGTTAGAACATTTTGTCTCTCTTTATTTATCTCACCCCAAAAGTTTGGAAGTTTTTGAAATGTTTGAGTTTTCATTGTTAATGTTTGAGGATCAATTGTGTTCAATATCGATGTCTTGGATAGTACTTATGATGAGAAATATGTTTTGTGCTAATGTATGCAAGAATAAATTGATGTGGCTTCACTTTTGAATGATCTTTTTGATTCTTTTGTTGGCTAGCTGCATTTTGATGTGAGCCTTGCAATGAACATCACACGTAAGTTTTCGATCTTGTTGGGCTGGGCTAAATGATTGTGTTTAAAGTGCCTTGTGTGGTGAGGTTTCACTTGAAATCATGCTGGTTGAATCCTAGAATTTGCCTTGTTAGTCCAATTGTCTAGCTTTGGTGAATGCAAGAAATGATCTTGGGCACAAATTTGTAGAGAAAAACCAAATGTTCATACCTTTTGTGACTACATTGTGAGGGCGTGTAACCATATAGGAACATTTGAGCCTAAACCATTTGTTGTCAAACTTGTTGAAACCTATTGAGCTGAATTGTTCCTAATTTCTCACCCATAAATTGTTTTCTAAGCATTGGTTTGTTTGAATAGCCAACTTAGGTCAAAAGCCTAAGTTGAGGGTGTGGATATGAAGGAGGAAAGAAAGCCAAGTGAAAGGTAATGAAAGAAAACCGAGACTCAACTTTGAAGTGTGTTACAAAAAGAAGGAATCCCTCCTTATAAAAAAAAGGATGAACAGAACTATGAAAATTGAAATGAAAAATAAAGTTTGAGGAAATAAATGGGGTGTCTAATAAATTGAATTAAAATTTGAAGTTTGAGTCTCCAAGTTAAAAGAATGGAAAGAACTTGAGAAAGGTGAAGATGAGTGCGATAATGCTCTGAAAAGGTGAAGTCACTGAGCTAAATTGACAATACCTTTTCCCTAATCCATATTACAAGCTTAAAAGACCTTTGAGATCTTGAATGAACTAGGCCGTGTGATGATTGGAAAATATGGGAAAATGTATGGGATGAAGCTTGCATGTATTTCTCTTTCAGAGAGTGAGAGTTGTATTGATTCCTAACTTATTTATTGATTTGATTTGTGAGAGAATGGAATCATTCTTGATGTGAGGGCACTTGAATGCATTTGTTGGAACATAGTTTTGCACTAGAAAGGAATCAATAGTGAGCTTGAACTTTTTGTGGTGGAGCCAGAAATTTTACTAAGGGTGTCCAAGAATAATGGTGTGTGGCTGTCAAAATAAAATAAAAATATTGTGATATTTGGGGTTTGAACTCGGAACCTCTTCATTCAAATGGACACCCATTACCACTATGACAAACACATAGCTTTTGTCATGGGTGTCCAACTTTAAATATATATCCTATAAATGTAAAATTTGACATATATATACAACATAATTTTCCGATGAACGGTGTCCAGTTGGACACCCTAGGGTGGCTCTAGATACACCACTGTGAGCTTGGATTGATACCGACTAGTCATCATTTGAATCTTTTTGAGCATTATTGAGTATTGCATTTGTTTTATAGTAATCTTTTAGTGGCACTTTCATGTTGTCTCTCATTGAGAACGACACCCTTGTTGTGACACTTGATACTTTAAACTATTTTAGTAAACTCGGTGGAATCATCCATCCATTTGTATTAATTTGCTACAATGAATAGGTCTGCATTATTAATCTCCTAGTTGATTTTTTATCATTATACTATTCCTTGTGGGATTCGAACTCTACTCTTTGTTGGGTATTTTATTGACAACAACCACTTACTCTTCTAATTGTTTTTGAGGATAATTTGAGCGTTATCATTAAGAAACTACAACAAAAAAATACTACTCCCTCCGTCCCATTTTATATGATGTACTTTGATTTGGCACAAACTTTAAGAAAAATGGAAAGACAATACAATGTTCCGAAAATGCCCTTATTAATAAGTCTAAATTGTTAAATAAAAAAAAATATTATATCTGACTTTGAATAGAAAAGTTTATGACTTTTCTCTCTCATAAGTTAATGTCACATCAGTCATTAAATTAAATCCAAAAGAATCCAATATATTTATTTCTCTCTCTTCTTTCTTCTCCACTCTCCATTCTCCATTATCTCTTTCCTTAATCTTTCAATGAAGAAGAAAGACTCCAAAATGATTGAGTTTTTGCCATTGCAGTAAAAGTAATTTTTTTTCATGATTTTAATTATAGTTTCGAAAAATTGATAACATAAAAAAAAAATGCGGGAAAAGATTAAAATTTTCAGTTTCTAGCGCCAATTTTTTTGCCAAATTTTAAAATATTAGCTAATGGACTCCATATAAGTAGAGATACTTCGTCTTTAATTTTTCAACTCTTCCTTCTTACAGTTTTTCCAATCAGTGATCTTAAAATGAGTGTTGAATTTTCAGAAGACCCAATTACCACAAAAAAGCGATTGAATCTGAACGACCGTCGAGCAATTGCGGAGTGGCTTTTGAAAGAAAGTAAGAATGGAAAACTTAAACATGGTTCTGTAAAGGAAGCAAGTATTTTGTTCAACACATCAAGAAGTACCATTGATCGTATTTGGAGACAAGCTAGATTATGTGTTGCTAATGGTGACATGTTAAATGTTTCTACTAATCTTGCAGGCAGAGTTGGGAGAAAACGCATACAAGTCGATATCAACCAATTCAAAGAAATTCCACTATGTCGTCGAACAAATATTCGATCTCTTTCTTTTGCAATAAATATGGCAAAATCAACAGTTTTTCGACGTGTGAAAGAAGGTGCAATTAGGCCACACACCAACGCCATCAAACCGCATTTGACCGAAGAAAACAAAAAGGCGAGACTTCGATTTTGCCTCTCAATGATTGATCAGAGTACACTTCACTCAAATCCCATGTTTATAGACATGTTTAATTATATCCATATCGATGAAAAATGGTTTTACTTATCAAAAAAATCTGAAAGGTATTATCTTCTTCCCGAAGAAGAAGAGTCTAATCCGTATCGTTCTTGCAAAAGTAAAACTTTTATCACAAAAGTTATGTTTATGGCAGCTGTTCGATTTTATCGGTGACTAAAGATATCACAAGAGCTTGTTTGATAGAGAAAGTTCTTCTAGCCATTTGATCAAAATGGCCAGCTTCCAAGTCAAGTGCACCTATTTTCATCCAACAAGATAATGCTAGACCGCATATTGGTGTTAATGATTTGGAATTCATGGATGCTGCTCAACGAGATGGATTTGATATTAAGTTATGCTTTCAACCCCCTAATAGTCCTGATCTTAACGTTTTGGACCTTGAATTTTTTAGAGCAATTCAATCTCTTCAATATCAAAATGCTCCTTCAAATGTTGATGAATTAGTGGAGGTTGTTGAAAAATCATTCAATGAAATGAAAATAGAACGACTCAATCATGTATTTTTGACTTTGCAATGTTGTATGAATGAGGTGATGAAAGATAGTGGTGGCAATAACTACAAAGTGCCTCATATGAACAAAGAAAGACTCGAAAGAGAAAATAATCTCCCACTTCAAGTTCGTTGTGATGTTGATGTTGTTAATCAAGCTTTAACTCTACTTCAACAGTGATGAGATTACAAGTATTAAAACAACTTGTGTTTTTGTACATTTTGATGTTTATATTAGAACTTTGCAAATTTAATTTAATTTTTGGATAGTTTAATGTTTATGTTAAAATCTTGCAAAGTGTAATTTACTTTTGGAATAGTTTAAAGTTTTTGTTGGGACATTGTAAATTCAACATGTTGAAGTAAAATTTTCATTTTGGTAAATGTAAGAAAATTTTACTTCTTGAAGTTTATATTTGAAAATTTTCATTTTATTTTTATTGTAAATCTTAACTACAGAAAAAAGAAGAAACATTCATCAAATTTTTTTTTAAGTGAGGACAACTTTTGATTGTACATTCTTTAATTTTTTAAAATAAAATAAAATTACATTCACATACGGAGTACTTCACAATTCTATAAATAGTGTAAAAGAAAAAAATAATATGATAAAAGTGGTGAAAAGACAGAATGAGTTATGACAAATATTGAAAAAAGTGTAAAAAGCATTGTTGACTATTAGCAAAAAGAGAAAAGTAGTTGTACTTTTTACTACATTTTAATAATGTTTTCTTTAAATTAAAAGAGTGTCACTATTGAAATAATGAGATTCAAGAAGGGTAAAATAGGGATAATGTCATTAAATATTTACCAAATAAGGAAATGTGTCATTCTTTTTGGGACTGACCAAAAAGGAAAGTGAGTCATATAAATTGGGACAGAGGGAGTAATAGATAAATGAATTGCTTAGTGCCACAAGTACAACACCAACATGTAACTATTGAATACTAAATAAATTACTCCATAGTTATCTGTTTATAGACTGTAGTTTCATGATGGTGTTGTACTTGCGAGACTACACAACTAATTTGTTTATTTAGTGTTTATTTGTTGTAGTTTCTTAACATGATTATGTTTGAGGATACAAATAAACATATCTAATCTCATTCATATGGTTCAATTATTAATTATTTGTAATAATAATTTTTATTTGGTTTTGTTGCAGTAAAAAATCATATTCGTTGTTGATCTGGATGTTTATTGGCACACCGGAATCTAATACTTATTAATGCTAGAGTTCTCTCAAATCTTAATGCACTTTATCACTATTATCAATCGATACTGGCTTAATTTTAATGACTTGAATCCTTTAGTTATTATTTTGTCTGTATAATAAACTACAAAATGCTTATGCCTATGGAGTTTTGGTTTTCAAACTAACCTTTCTTTTTGCATAACAACTATGTTATGTTACTCTACTTAGTTTTCTTCCCACCTTTTAGAGTTTGTCTTAGTGGTCAATATGTAGGTGCAAACCTCGGTGAACCAGGGTAATTACGATTTCATTAGTTCCATCATTTATGCAATCTTAACATAACTAAATAAGCACAATTTTTTTTTTACAAAACTTGGATGACATAGTTAGTCTAATTTTTGAGATTTAAAATCACTTTGACATAGACAAGTCACTGAATTTAAAAATGTGTTCATTCTAATTCATACTTTCAATTTTATAAATGGAAAATAATAATGTTTTTCCATGTTGTTACAACTATATATGTTTAAAAAGAGGGGAGATCATGTTAGGTTTTGACCCATTGTTTTACCAATCTTAACTCAATCTTTTTGAACCAAGAAAATTTTGGCGGTTTGGAACTTGACCCAATAATTACTTTGACCCATTTAGATCTATTCGACTTTGACCCAATAATTACTTTGACCCATTTAGATCTATTCGACTTTGACCCAATAATTACTTTGACCCATTTAGATCTATTCGACTTTGACCCAATAATTACTTTGACCCATTTAGATCTATTCGACTTTGACCCAATAATTACTTTGACCCATTTAGATCTATTCGACTTTGACCCAATAATTACTTTGACCCATTTAGATCTATTCGACTTTGACCCAATAATTACTTTGACCCATTTAGATCTATTCGACTTTGACCCAACCCGCCTATTCGTAATCTCTAAAGTCATATGTAGTTCTTGATCGTATGTCATGATCATTATTTGTGGAGAACGTATTTTTCTACTTTTTCTTAGAATTCTCGTCTGCTTGTGTCATTTTCATGTGAATGATAAGAGATAGGATCTTTAAAATTAAGATATGTAGGGATTTTTGTAAAAGACATGTTTTGTTTGTCAGGTGTGGAAACAATCCAATAAGCACAACATTTGTTTTTTGACAATATCAAACTTAAAAAGTGATTATCACTTTGACACAAAAACAATTTTCCTTTCTTCGGTTGATTAGAGTTAATGTTTTCTGCAGAATTGCAGTCTTAGACCTTAAATTTCTAGTCGAGAAACATTAAGTTCTATACAACTATGTGTTTAGCAATAGCAAAATATGGCTAAATCATATCTTAGTCATTATAACATTAAAGATTCTTAATCATTAACTCATTTTTAACTCCATTGTCACTATGTTAGTTGAAAGGTTGAGGTAAATGAAAACTAACTACTTCATTGTTGAAACAAGAGGAAAATGAAAAACATTATAAATAGTATTTTCAATTTGTTATTCAAAAAATAGAAAAGGACATTATTATATGATGCTTTAAATTTGGGAGTTGGGGTACGACGGCAACAAGGGTGAGGGACTTCACTAAGATGAATTCCCAGAGTTTTATAGGCCCAAAGCTGAGGAATATCTCCAAGAGTTCATCGACGAAATTCATAAGATCATGAAGATTATGGGAGTTACACTAGTGGAAAAGGCGGACTTTTCCACTTATCAGTGTGAAGGAGTATGCATTGAAGTTTATTCAATTATCTATGTACTCCCCTACTATGGTTACCGACTCTAGGGCTAGTGTAACACCTCAGATTTGAAAAGAAGTAAGAATTTCAGGTTTCACAGATTTGGTGCCAGTATAGACGGAACCACCGACGGTCCATAGGCCAGACCCCGGACCGTAGGTAGGGATTGTTGTTGGCAAGCTTCCAATGATTTAGATTGTCAAGTCCCAGTACTCTTTGACGATTTACCAAGATGTTTTGTCATTCAATGTACGAGTCGTAGGTATGCCCCATAGGTCTGTCTTAGACTTAGTGAAGCTTTAGGATTAAAGTTGGGACTCATGGTTGAGGTGTACGGTCCATAAACGGACCCACAGACTGTACATGGGGTCACGTCATTGGGGGTCCAAATGTTGTGGCCTCTAAACTCACCAAGGGTTGACCAGGACGGTCCCTGGTAGGACCTACAGACCATAGGTTAGACCCGTCGGTGAGGAGTCAATAGTTATTTAAAGGGTCTTTTGGTCTTTTCCCTAGTTGTAACCCTATACTACATCGTTTTGCCTTCTACCCAAAACCCTATATAATGATTTGTACCTCCAAATTACCCAATTCAATTCACTCTCCTAAATACCCAAACGTTGATCAAGTTCATTCTCTAAAATATTTCTTTCTCTAAGGAAGAAGAAGAAGTCTAAGGTTTCAAGATAAAGTCTCCAATCAACCATAACTTTTGACTTTGAACTCCAAGGTATGATAGTCTTCACCTATGGAGCCCTTTCCTCCATAGTGTTCCTAAAGTCCCAAATTTTGTAAAGTTAGATTGCCAATCAAGTTAGGATTTTATTCAATTACCATGGGTTCCTTTTAGTGTTGATCCAATTGATAGTTTTATGTTTTCTTATGCATGCATTGAAGTAATTGCATGCTTTTAGGTTGAATTCCCATGAGCCCTGTATAACCCATGTTTTCTAGACTATGATGATCAAAGGTGGGTTTTGAACTATGTAAGATGAATTTATGAAGATATGCATGTTCTTTATGAAATTCATGAAAAATGATTTAAGTTTCTTTGAGAGTAAAGCATAGATGTTATTATTGTTGTTGTTGTGGAAGGATTTCTCACATACTACTCAATACATGGATGTGAACGGGTTTTCTCACATTAGGATTCTTGGAGTTGAATGGTTTTCTCAACTAAACTTTGAATCAAGACTTAGGAGCTATTATAATGAAATATAGCTTGGATTGGCTACTAAATGTTCCTTCCATGGATGATAAGACACACAGCGATTACCCATTTATCTTAATGATAAGACAAGTAAACACTAATGACATTTTCCATAGGATTTTTGCTTAGAACCGAGTGTAAAAGAGGCGATTACTCACGTCCCATAAACTATGTGCCACCATAGGTTGTGTTAGATAGACATTAGCTAGTGGATCCACTTAAGCTAGAAGTTATGGTTCTTACCTTGTCAAGTAAGCAAATCTCTTTCCGGTGTTGGATAGACATCAAATTTTATGTGTTATAGCTCACATGGTCAATATGTCGGTTAATGGCTACTTTCCACAATAATGAACTAAGTTTACTTCTAGAAATATCTCACATGTGTTTTAAAGATGATTTTACTTGCATTGATAATGTTCATGATTCCTATTTCTTAACTCAGGACTTGCATGTTATGAAATATCCTTTTAGCATGATTTTATAACTGTTATCTATTACTATCATACTTTATACATTCTTT